CCACATGAGTGTTTACCAAAGTAGGGGGACTACACATAGTTGCTTCTGATGCATTGTTCCCAAATAAATCCTTATGTAGAAATACTTACGCTGGCACCTTGTTGCCATTTAACTTAAACAACCTTGAAAGTGTCAGCATAAGCACACATGTAGCTATTTGGGAACAGCTATTGTGCCTCCAATTCATACCTGATCTTAATCCACATTAACATTCAAGTTTACTGCCTGTGCCCAGATTTGAATTCTGGGGAAGGAAGGAAGAATTGAAGTCTGTTGACATTCAGACCGTGTTGTAAAGTCCATATTTTTACTCTCGCTTACAGCAGATGAAAGGGCATGAGGATGTTTAAATGCTGGGCTACATTGATATTGTGAATATCTCTCTTCTCCTAGCTAGATGTTGGAATCCAGCAGTGGCTGGGTCCTCGTGATGCTGTACATGAAGAGGATGGAAAGCACTTTGGGCTGAAAGGCGTCTGTAGACATGCACATTCATTCTCTGGCCTTCCTCTCCCTTAGTGCAATCTTTCTGTTGCTGACTTTGCTTTCAGGCTGAAGCAACTCCTTTCCTACAGTGCCATTGTGAGGCCACAGTACCAGTGTGCGAGCCACAAGTTTACAAATGAATGGAGGCCTAATGGGACAATCACAGCTGCTCTTCAAGACCCTGCTGTTGTGAAGGCAACCTGTCCTGGTGGCCCTAAGGGTATGTGACTTTCTTCCCTTTCTAGTCATTTTCCTGTGGTGCTGGAAGCAGTCTCGTTGCCTGAAACTAAAGGTACTCTGATTCTGTCCTACCCCGGTACAATTCAGCAACAAGATTATGTATAGAGTAACAGCTGTATGCCTTCTGTGCTATCTCAGTAGTACTGAGTAACTGTTTAGAAATGCAGAGTGTGAAAGCAGAACCTCCTAATAATAAAAGTGTGGGAAGCCTTGTCACTAGCTATTTTAAGTCAGACTGGACAAAGCACTGAATTAAAGTAAGTGGGGAACAGTCAGGCATTGCAAATGAATGCACTAAGTGACCCCATCTCTAGTATCTCTTAGAGAGCTTGGTGCTCTAGGCCACATAGTTACAATCAGGACCATTACTGGAGAGAAGGCCTCTCCATGTGTGCTATGCACATTGTGTGCATTTTCTAACTCTTTTTGGAGTTGTAATTTTCTTTGGTGAGCTAGCAGTAACTTCAGGATGCAGAGATAGTAAAGCCACAAGCTGTGGATAAGAGGCCTTCCTTCTATGCATATATAAGGTTTAGGTCAAACTTTCTGGACTCAAGGCACTTGTCATTGGACTTGGGGCACCTTCATGTTTGTGAATTGAGTGGCATCCAATTTCAGAAGGAAATTATATATGATAGTGCTTACTCCTGCAGAGGGACCAGGCAGTGTGGAAGTGGGGGATTGGCTAAGCAGGAACAAGCCTGAGTCTTCACTTTTATCTGCTTATCTCCTCACACCTCACTTATTTCTTTACACTTTGTGGCACCATTCAAAGTATCTGCAGGCACAGCAGCCTGGTTGAGAATCACTGGTCCAAGTCCTTACTAGCTCTTTCTTTCTCCCTTCCTGCACAAGTCAATTCTTGCATGTCTGCCATGATTAAATTTCAATGTGGGAATTGTCTTCTGCTACCCTAGTTTCTTCCATGGTTTTACTTGTTTAACTTCCTGTCCTAAACAGTATTGTTGGCCACTGTTAAACCATCCTGTTCCAATTCAGTTATACACGCTGCTGAATGTGGCTACATAGTAGCTTTATATTCAGTGGAGTCTTGTAGCTGAAATAAGCTAGAGCAGTGGTCTCCAAACTTTTTTGATTGTGCACCCCTATCATTAAAAATTTTTGAGCATGCACCCCCAATATATGTATATTTATTTATTTGACATACAGACCAAGTGAGGGCACCAGTGTCAATCCTTATATTAAATATTAGTAAAGCTCAATTTCTTATTTTTTTTAGATAAAAAATAAATATAAATAGAAGTTCTAATATTTTCTTCCCGCACCCCCTGGGGTGCACGTACCCCACTTTGGAGACCACTGAGCTAGAGGATTCTTATCGCCCTTATCACTACTTATTACTCTATTACTGGTCCGTACCAGATTTGAGTATTCTAATATTATAAAAGCCTTAGTCTGTCTGTAACACTTTATTTGTGCTCCGATTGGCTGCCTCGGGGGTAATGGCCCCAGCCGTGGCCTGAAGCAGCAGCCGGGAGCCGGGAAACGGCCCAGGCCTCTGTCCCCCCGCCCCCTCCCCCCATCGTTTTTGACGGGCAATTGGCTAGTCTCCTCATAAGAATATAAGAATTGCTATTTAGTGGGTCTGACTACAGGTCCATCTAGCCCAGCATCCTGTGTTGCACAGCAGCAGACAGTGGATGTTGAAAGGGAGAGGGAACTGGATATGGCCAGGGTTTTTTCCATGGTTCCTCTCTTACTTGCAGCCTCCAGCATTCAAGGTCTAGGAAGTTCTGATTCAGAGGCTGTATCCCTAACTCCTGTTCTCAATAGCTACTGATGCCCCTTTCCTCCAAGAATTTGTTCAATCCCTTTTTGTCCAAACCCTCATCTATGTCTGACCTTTGTAAATAAGCCCACTGTAGTTGCTGGGGCTTTTCCTGGTAGTGAACAGGAGACGAGGATAAAAGCTCTATTTCCTTCACATTTGCGTATACAATTGTAAATGTAATTTGTTCTCTGGTATATTGTGCAGGGAAAGTCACTGTCAGTGCTAAGTGGTTGGAAGCTGTTTTCTACGCAGCCCTGAACAGTTGCATGTGGCAGCACCTGTCCCACCAGGAGACACTGAAGTTACTCAATAATGTATGCTTTTCTAAGCCCTGCCATGTCTGTGTGGAGCAAAAGACTTGCCCCTTGTTTGTGTGTGGGAGCTTTGTCAACCAAACTTATGCTGCCTCCCTGACTCAACAAGAGTAAGTAAGGTGTCAAAATTCAAACATGGCTGGATGGTCTCTGAGTGTTTGTCATATCCCCTGGTTTGAAAGGAGGGCTCTTCTGATGGCATAAGAAGAACACTGTATGGTGTATATGACTCCAGTGTGAAGCATCAGTGAAAGGTTCAACTTTAAAATCTGACCCAAATTCCAGTGTCTCTTGAAGAGACTTGACTCCCAAATGCCTTATTATGAAAATAATGGGAGCTGCTATTGAAAATGTTGCCCACTCTGTCAAGACATAGACATCAACCCACAACTCAGCATACTGGCAGCTGTCAGAGTCCAAATCCATGCCATGAATATCCTGGTATCTCATCCTGAGCCCCTCCTATTCTTATCAGAATGAACTGCTCTTTCAGATATAAGAATCTGATACATGCAGGGGCACAGGACTTGTGACACTGGTGCAGTCTAGTTAAATAAGAGCAGGACACATAAAAAATGAGACCAGGCCAGATCAGCAGTCCCTGTAGTCCAGTCTCCTGTCTCTGAAGACTCCAGCTGTAGCCTCAGAGAATCCATCTACCAGACTAGGAAGGCGATGCTGGTTGGAGAGAATCCAGAGTATATTTAGGGAGCCATTTGGACACCATCCAGTAAAACTCTTTTTGAAGGTGTGCCTGGACAAGGAAAAGGAAGACAGCTGTGGAGCTCAAGAAGAGTTTTACTGGGAGGTGTCCAAATGGCTCCCTAAATGCATTCAAAGGGCAGTGGGTGCCAACCAGAGTTCTCTGCTTGGTGTCCTCTCTACACACCCTAACTATTGACTTATAGCCCATACTCCTATTCTTGTTTTCTTATTTGTTTTTGTCCCATGATATAAGTTCTGTGCTTAGTGGCCTCCCTCTAGCCATTTCAGGTGGGGCTTTTAGCTCCTACCGGGTCTAGGCCCATTGTCCCAGAACAAAGTAGGTCTGTCTCTGACAGTGGCCAGCAGTAAGAAACCTCATGGAGCAGGGGTGAGCAAAATGTGGCCTAGGGGCTGGATGCAAGCTGCCAGGCCATTCTATCCGGCCCACAGGGCCCCTAAAAAAAATTTAGAAAATTAATATTTATCTGCTGCAGCTATCTATCATGCGGTCCTTGTTGGCTTGCCAAAACTCAGTAAGCGGCCTTCTGCCCAAAATAATTGCCCGCCCCTGTCATAGAGACTAATCTGCCTATAGGGGATTTTTCTTCCTTACCTCTTAGTGCTTGGCTTCTGTACTGACCCAGGAAGGATAATATCCTTTATAAAAATCTGTATGTGTAATATAACTGTATCAGTTCTCATTATCTACCTAACTATTCAGTCCTAGTTTAAATCCTACTATGCTCTTGGCCTAGAGCTTATCTGGTAGCAGTCAGCTAATTACTTATCATGTTAAAAAATCCTTTTCTCGTTTTGAAATGTGGAGCCTTTCAATGTCCTTGAACATCACATTGTCCTTGTACAAAAGGGAACAGTGCCTGACTTGCCTTATTTACACCATTTATCATGGAACAGACTTCCTGTTCTTTCCCCTCTTATTTTACAGCAGGATGTCTGAGTAGGAGCCTGAAGGAGGAAGTAATTCCTCCCTGCATCACCACTCTTATCTAGACAAACTAACACCACCACAAAGCTATTGTTGGTTTCAGATGAAAGGATGAACTTCCTTTATCACTCACAAGCAACCAGACTCCAGCGAAGAGCTTAAACGGCCCCTTTGCCATAGATTTCCTCTATTATTTAGAACCTTTCCCTTCTCTGTCTTTTAAAACAAAGTTCATCCCAGACTGATTCATAGAAGGGGATATGGAGCTCCTTTTGTTAACAAATATTAGTGCCTTGTAACCCACAGGCAGTGCCCTAAAGAAGGACTGCTGTCTGTCTATTTAGGTTTCAACCTTTTGTGTGTAGGTAGACCAGAAGTTCCATGTTTGCACCAATTCTCCTTAAAAAAAAAAAGGAATTAAATTTAATACGGATGGAAGTTACCAATGTAAGAGACACTGATTCTGTGGAATGCTGGGTTTATTACCCAGAGAAAAGCATGTTGCCTGGATTGTACTCTGCTGGGATCATCTTTGGGAATGGCAAGGAGTACAGTCTTCAGGGCTTTCCCAACAGCAGCCCCCTCTGCTTGGACCACTGCAAAGGAGTCTAACATGTGGGGTGCTTTTTCTGATGGTAGTATCTGGCTGGTAAAAAGTAGCTTTTGGTCACCACAGATGAAAGATTGCTTGGAACTGTTTACTAGCGATTAAAATATCTAAAACTCATCATTGGTTCCTAAGCCATCCAGTTCCTGCTAATTCTGTTTTCTGTATAATTGTTATATTAACCATATTACTGAACCTTCCAGATTCCCTAGCCAGGATCAGGATCCCATTGGATTAGGTATAGCACAAAAAAAGCTGGTTCTTACAAGATCCAAGGCAGTGGCATCCTTGCTGTAGGGACTTGTATGATGAATATGCTTGCCTATGGTACACTGCTCATTAGCTCCCATTCATGCAAAATCTTCTAATTTGAACTGGTGGTGTCCAAAGACCCCAACTTCCTGAATCTGGTTGCTTTCTCAAAGGGCTAAGAAAAAGGGCATAGCTAAAAGAATGTTTATTTGTTAAATCATACCTCTGGGTGCTGACAGTGGTGATAGTTGCTGATATATAAACAATAAAGCCTATTTTCTTTTCCCAGCACCTTTCCCTGGTTTGACCTGACAACTGTACAACTGAAGGAGACTCCCTTTGGCCAGCTCCTAGCAAGGAGTGTGTGTCTCCAGAACCACCTTGCCCAGCTATATCATGCCTCATTTGAAGCCCACACTGACAGCAAGATGTCCCTTTGTCCTGCCACAGCAGGTCCCAGTATGGTGACCTGTCATGAATCAATGTCCACTATGACTGCTTTGGATGTGACTGGCACAGAAAGCCTGGAGGAAGTTCCTCATACTGATTTTGACTCTTCGTAAAGTAGAACCAACCCTCTACGGATGGGGCTGCTTTGTTAAATGTTTATACTACAGAGAATTGTAATGGAGATTAATACCCTTTTCTTATCAGTTGCCACTGCAGAAATCCACCCCATTTTTGCATGTGCTTGAGGAACCATAGTACGGATTCTGCGGAAAGAATAAAACTGGTATAAAAAATAACTTTGGCTTGACTGTCAACCTTGGCACAGACCACTGCAAAAAAAGGGTCAAATTAAACGGAGATTGAACAACTTTCCTACCCCAGAGTTCTGAAGCACCTGAAAGCTTCCCATCCTTTAGTCTTCCCTAGTCTGCAGAGGTTATGGCAACAATCTCACAGAATGTTATTTTGGGATATTTGATTTTTACTTTTAGTAGCCCCAGGTTAAGGCTGGTTATAAAGAATGCACTAGAATCAGTTAGCTGATGACCAGGGCTATTACTGAACAGTCCTTTAACTCGAGAGTAAACAAGATAAGGAAAAAGTGGAAAATGGCAAGTTTTGCTTGCTCTTTAAATGCTTAGAACAGGCTTGTCCAACATGCGACCCCCAAGGCATTTTCTGTGACCCGTGGTACTGTGACAGGAAACGGAAGTGAACACGGTTTACTTTCGTTCCCGCCCCTTGTCCCTCCCCCAACCCCTCAGCAGCTTCCTAATGGCTGCTGAAGGGACCAATGCGGTGTGTGTGGGAAGAGGAGTAGCCGCGTGCCACTCAGGACAGGACAAGCCCAGCTGGAGCAGGGGGAGCTCAGCTGCACTTTCGCCTGTCGGCGCCCGTCAGTCCCGAGCGGCACACGGCTTCACCGCCGCTTCTGCTGGCTGGTGCCGACCCAGGCAGGTCTGTCCCATCCAGAGCAGCACGTGGGAATCCGGCTTCAGCCGCATGCTGCTCCGGATGGGACAGACCTG